AAGTCCTGGGGATCCAATGTATGGCATAGTCACTACAGTTAATAATTCTGTATTGCATAATTCCAATTTCTGCATTGTTGCTAAAAGAGGAGATTCTAAAAGTTCCCCTAATAAGAAAAAAATTCTAAGTATATAAGGTGATGGATGTTAACTAGACTTAAATGTGGTAACTATTTCATAATAAATACCTATATTGAACCATTATGTTGTAAACCAGAAACTAATATAACATTACATGTCAATTATCTCGCAATATTTTAAAGGTAAAATAATTACTATGCTAAGATTCAAGGGTTTTACACATTTTTTACCTTTTTTTTTTTGTTGTTGTTGACTTAGGGAAGCATTATAAGCTTAAAATAAACAAAAGAGGGGCATCTGGGTGGCTCAGTTGTTAAGTATCTGCCTTCTGCTCAGGTCATGATCCCAGGGTCCCGGGATCGAGCCCCCCCATTGAGCTCCCTGCTTGGTGGGAAGCCTGCTTCTCCCTCTCCCACTCCCCCTGCTGTGTTCCCTCTCTTGCTGTGTCTCTCTCTGTCAAATAAATAAATAAAATCTTAAATAAGTAAATAAACAAACAAAAATAACATTATACATAAATTTTCCCTTTTCTAAATTCTTGTTCTAGTTTACCTCTTCTAGACCTTTACCTAAATATCTGACCTAGTGGCAAGACATTTCTCTTCTTTTTCTTTCTCCAACACACATAATATACATACATCCCCCAAACAAATTTGTATTATCTCCCTTCGTACTGATTAGGTTGCAAATCTTTCATAACCACAGTGAGGAAAAAAAAAAGAATTTTTAACTCTCCATTTTATATGGTGTCTAATAAAGACTTTGTTATACCTATACCTACCTGTGTTATAATTATAGGGAAACTTGTCTAAAAATCATAATATTTCAATTTCTTTACAATAATAAATTGATCACTTAGTATTAAAGAAAATAGAACCTTTTAATTTAAAATTTTAAATGCTATGTTATTCATATTCTACAAATATTAAACTGGGGTTCCAGCTGACTATTAAAATGTGAGTTTCACTATTATTTCTCTAAAGACTTCAGAAACATCAAACCCATGGCTACAGAGAAAGACATTTAATGGCCAGGTCAGAATAAAACAATATTCTAGACTACCCCATCTAATATAGTAGCCATCAGCCACATGTGACCATTTAAATTTCAATTAACACTGATTAAAGTTAAATCAAATTAAAATTAGCATTAGCCCTTCAGTTGCACTAGCAATATTTCAAGCATTCGGTGACCACAGCATGGCTAGTGACTATCTTATGAGCAGCACAAATACAGAACATTTCCATGATCTCAGAAAGTAGACTGAATGTGATTCCTAGAGTCTTTTCCAACCTCTACTTCTCAACTGCTCTTCATTAGGTCTCTTCAGTCTCCATCTTACTGATTCTTACTCAGACTCTCCTTCTCTGCCTCCACCAGTTGTTCTCAGCTTGGGGAGATCATGCCCCCCCTCCATGAGACATTCGCAATGTCTGAGACATTTCTGGTTGTCCCAATTTGGGAGACAGGATTTAACGCTGACGTGTGACGAGTGGAGGCCAGAGACATCGCTGAACACCCCACAATTCACAGGACACCCCCACAACAAGGAAGGTTATGCCAGTAGTGCCCAAGTGGAGAAATTCTGGACTAGACTACTCGACGTTGAAGCTGTGTGTGGACTGCCCACCCAAAACTGGATTCGTTATATCACAAGTCCCCAGCTTCTGACTGCTCTCAAAGATCAGTGTACACCCTCTACAAGAAAGTAATACAACCCAGATCCAATGTATGTCTAGCACTCAGAGTTCCCACTAACTTAAGAAAGATAGACATGAACTACAAAAATTTTACTACTATGAATTCTTATTTTTACAGAGCCTGGAATTTCCTCACATGGGTAGATGAGCAGTTATCAAATGTGAGTGATGTCATGTACACTTTGATTCCTTTAGGTTGTGTGTTACATGAAGGTAGGGACCATGCTTTGCCCACCATCATATATATATGCATTTTATAACATATGCGTTCAAATATAGGAAGCTCTAAAAGAAAGGTAACACTGGATGAGAAAAACAAGATATGGAATACTGTAAATGATACGAACTTATTTTTATAAAAGAATGGTGAGAAAATATTCTGAGCATGTACATATGTTTGCGTGTGTGTCTGGGTGTGTTCTTGTGTGTGTATGTGTGTATAAGTACAGAGAAAAATGGAATGATAACAGTAGTTGGCCAATACAGATACCCTAGGAGAATGCTACCATCAGGGGAAAGGTGAAAAAAAAAAAATTAGAACTTATGTGGCAAATCATGATAATGGTAAAAAGTTATATTTTCATTGTAAATAATGGGGCATTCAAGACTACCTCAAATGGAGCAACTGAAAGGAAAATCAAAAGCATAAGGTCTATTCATTAATATGGCATTTGCATTTTAGAAATGAAACAGCTAATAAATAAGAAAAAAATATCATTTCCTACAATGATAAGTCTTCTGAAGAACATTAAAATGTAGCCATCTGGGGGAGACAGTCCTGAGCTCTGGATAGATATGAGGGCTTGGAGAAGCGAATTTAGGATTTATCAGGGTGCAGTTGGTATTAAAAGCTACACGACTCGGGGCGCCTGGGTGGCTCAGTGGGTTAAAGTCTCTGCCTTCGGCTCAGGTCATGGTCCCAGGGTCCTGGGATCGAGCCCCACATCAGGCTCTCTGCTCCGCAGGGAGCCTGCTTCCTCCTCTCTCTGCCTGCCTCTCTACCTACTTGTGATCTCTGTCTGCCAAATAAATAAATAAAAATATTAAAAAAAAAAAAAAAAAGCTACACGACTCAATGTGATCATCTAGAGAGTGAACATGGGGGGAGAGAGAGTTAAGGGTTGCACTGGAGGGCTCTCCAATGTGGAGTGACAAGGATGAAAGTTTACCCGAGATGAGTAGAAAGAGTGGAAGGGAGAAAGCGGAGATGATAGGACAAGTCCTTAAATGAGTTTTGCTAGTAAGAGTGTTGTGGGCATGGTACAGAGGAACGGGGCATGGAATGGAAGGGCCCAATGGGATCAGTGGAGGCTTCTAAAGAGGACATTTATGACACCAGTCTTGTATGTAGGAAAAAGAAAGGAAGTTCTTACAAGAGAAAACTCAGTGAGAAGTGTGAAGGCCCTTATATAAAGGAAGAGTTAGGCTTAGGGTGGAGAAGGAATGACTACATATGTCCTTATCCTTGAGGCAAAAATTGGTATGTGATGAGAAAGTACTTTCCCCTCAGAGTATATAATATTTGAAGTTATTCCACTGGATTTTATTAAAATCAATATAAATTTATATCACATCAGCTATTTTCTAGCCAAAGATCCACAACTGACAACTTCAAACAAGAAAATCATGATTTTGCATCATGGGACACACCCTCTTATTATTTACATTCTCTAGAATTACAGACTAAAAAAGATGATAGCATAAACAGGTGAAACACATGAACAAATATTAGTAGAGCTATATATCACTGATATATAGTTCTGTTATATGACAATCCCAGTGCTAGATAATTTCCAATAAAAAATCAAAATCTGAAGATGTCTACTCATATTTTAAAAGAAAAAAGACTGGGGTGCCTGGATGGCTCAGTCGGTTAAGCGTCTGCCTTTGGCTCAGGTTATGATCCCAGAGTCCAGGGATCGAGCCCTGCATCAGGCTCTCTGCTCAGCAGGGAGTCTGCTTCTGCCTCTAACTCACCCTCTGTATTCTCCCTCTCTCTCTCTCAAATAAATAAACAAAAAAATAAAAAAGAAGAGGAAAAAGATAACTTATATCTAAACCAAAAAAACTTTATTCTTACAAATTTCCCAAGAAAATGTCCTTTCTATACCAATAGCTATGCTACTCTGTAGTGGCTTAGATGTGATTTTAAAGCCACTGATTAACACGCTCCCCCTTCCTTGTAATTCGTGCCAAGGACACCAACATCTTCTGGACTCATCTAAACCGTGAAAAAGAAACACCCTTCCCGATTTTTTTTTCCTTGAACTTTTGGTGTACTTAAAACTAGGGATTTCTTAAACCTTGACAACAAAAGCAGATCACTAGTAGCAGCTAGAAATGCAGCAATCGTTTACAAGCTTTTCATAGCAACTGTCAGAGAAAGCAAGAAAAATGTTTCATTTCCCTATCTACAGAGGTATGCACAAAACTATACAGTCCAAAAAATTCATGTAAACTTGTTAATTACAGGAATAATAAAGTAATGTTGAATAAAATTGGTCATTTGCCATCTACAACCCTTCATTTTCATTCACCATTACCCTAGTAAGGTACGTTTACTCTCACACATTATTCTATATTTACAAAGATCTCTGCAAATAGGAGACCTAAAACATTAACTGCCTAGGCTACTCTCTCTACATTCCCAGTTGTCTTCCCATCAGGAACAACTGGATAATTCAGGGATTGCCAACGGACCCAGGAATAAAAGATCATGATCTTTTTTTTTCCCTTTACTACTGAATAAAGTAGATCAAAATCCCGCAAAAATCCCCTTACCCAGCAAAATCACTTTGGTAAAACTGGCCTTTTACGTAAGTTGTTTTTAATTACAATTTTGTCATTTAGGAAAATTAAAACATCCAAATTATTCTTCTGATCATTTTTAAACTCTTAATTATTATGGCTCAAGAAACCAAAGCTAGGAAACATCACAGAAACCAAAACTACTACTGATACGACACATTTTATGTTCAAGGAGCTAAACGTGGGCAAGCTTGGATTTTTATAACTAACATCTGTTTATAAATCAGTCTATCACCCTAGTTTTGAACAAAGTACTTGAATCTAAAAATAATGAAAGTGGATAATGGAACTTGAGTATATAGACAAAGTCCCTGTAGGAACAGATAAAAAATTGGCAAAAGAGAACGAGATGTTTTCATACATTCTAACTCGGCTTTTTGTTGTTGTGTTTATTTGGTTTGAAAGGCTTACCATCTTGCTGGCCATGAAGAGCTTGAGGACTTTGCATTCTTTCCTCCAGATTGGAGCTAAGATCAGAGTTCACAGCTGACATCCGTGTTGAATCGCTCATATCAAATTCATCACTTTCTATGGAACTTTCATCCTGAAAATGGTTTTAAAATATCATCAAACATCATAAAATATAACGTTCAAATAGTGACCATATTATTTACAGGGTCAATTAGAGTTTAGCCGGTAAGTAAGCTTTTACAGAGCTTGTAAACATGTAACCTATTAATAGATACTTGAAATAACAAATATTGGAACAATGTCTCCCTTTAAGGAATTTCAAAACTTGTGAAAAGTCAATGTTTCTATGCACAGGCAGATTTCAAAAGTAAAATAATATGTTTGGGAAGGATGTAGTTGGGGAATTATCCTAAATAATGAAGAAAAATTTTTTAATTAGCAAAAAAAGTCCTGGAAGAAACAAATCACAAAATATAACATATAGAGAAGTCTATGTTTTGAGTCCAAAGATAAAGGACAATAAAATAGTATAAGCAAAAATCTTAGGATGCACTAAGAAAACCTTAACCAAAAAATTGTCATTGGCAAACAGGATGGACAAACTTAACACGGATAGACTGAAAATCCACATTTACTGACAGCAAGGTTTTAACACATCCCTTCTTTCCTTATAAGTGAACATACACCGTACGGCAACCCCCAAAAGAAGTTCTGGGTAGAAGTGTGCAAGTTCCATTTCCCAAAAGCCAGTTCACCGAGTGGCGAAATTATCAAAAGGCCAGTTTTCCAAACACCCAATTCATCAAAACCTGCCAAAAATTAACCTAAATCAAATTCAAGGTATTTTGCTGTAGCTATTTCACTGAAGCAAACTCCTGCTGGAGAACTGATTTTTGGCCAACGGTGGGTTTATGTAGGCAGAGGGGCCTGAAAAATCTATGGTGACATACTGGAAGAACTGAATCGAAATCACCAGGTTTGACTTTAATTTGTAAGTGTCTGATCTGAAAGGTTAGCATTAATCAAATAATTAACAACAGCTGTGGTGGTCGTGTCATTTATGCTACAGATAACTGTTCTTTCTATTCGTTCACTCACTTCAGTTTCATCACTACCTGGGCGTCAGGTCCCAGGATTCATCCCATTTTATAGACTGAGAAATCGAGGCACAGAGCAGTTAAAGAATGTATCCCACTATTATACACCAGAACCGGGGTTTATATGAAGTCACTCAGGCTTGAGAAAATAGCTTCTTTGAATAGGAAGAGTTACCTTGGCTTCATAAATGACATCTTGGTATCAGCAAAGAAGTTGCTATGGTTAGGGGGCAGGAACGTTCTAGTAGACTAACAAATTGGCATTCTGATCCATAGGTCAGGTCAAGGTGATTTTGGTGTCCTTCCTTTACGAAAGGTCTGATCATGTCTGGGTCTACTGAGTAGCACTAGCTCTTCATTAATTCAGCAAGGAAATGCCACCCTGTGAGGCCTCTGGGCAATCAGCCACATAGACTTCTCCCGGCGGCATGCCCTCTCTCTTGGTACATTATGTTTTCTCCAATTCTAAATTCTAAGAAAATCCAAGCATCTGAAATAAATATATATGTTAAAAGAGAAAAAATAACAGAATTCAATGTGCACATCAATGTTATCAGTGTGTACTATATACATATACATACATATATATGCACACATAAGTAAGTGATAGATATTTACTATATACACTATCTATAGTGTCTACGATATGATAGTATTTTGGAGCACATTCTCTAGAGCAAGACAGAAATGATTTAGATCCATGCTCTGCCACTTAGATGTGTTACCTTAAGCAAGTTACCTAACCTTTCTGTGCCTCAATTTCTTCATCTATAAAATGGGGATTATAGCATCAATCTCATAGGGCTATATAAAGATATAAAGGAAAGATATAAAGGAAATATAATAATACTTAGAGTAGGTAGAACAATGTCAGATATATAAGTGTCAACTGTTTAATATTTTTATGTAGAATATATAGGAAATTTTACAGCATAAAATAGGATTCATGTTGATTATATATTATGAACACATACAAAAAATAAACTTAAATGTAATAGTAAAGATGACCAACATGTGTTTATAAAACAGCTGTGTATTCTATAAAAACATAGTCTTTAGAATCAGCATTTATTATATATACTACAAATAGCTAACTATGTGTAATCCAGTAAAATAGTATTTCCAATATATACCGACTGATATATATTATGTGTGCAAGTGAATAAGTGTGTGTGCAAAATGTATGTGTCTATGAGAATGTATGTGTGTTTAAAGAAAAGCTAGACACAAAGAGATCACAACCTCTGATCTACAGAATCATTATATAAACTGCTATTAAGCATTATGAATAATCAACACACATTTTACCAGCAATAAATAACATTCATATCAACATGCTTTTTAAGAAATGTGGACAATAAATTAAATGGTTCTATAACCAAATGTTCTTGTTATTTTTTTTAAAAGTCACTATTTATCATGAGTGGCTTAATGACTGTGACTCTTAAATATTTTCCTCCTTGATTTTCTATGAAATTCACTTTTTACAATTCTACTGCTTATTAGAATATAAATTATCCAATTGTTTAATTTATAAAGACCTTTAATGAAACTAAGTGCATGAATTCATCCTGTAAGTTCTATTATAATTATTAAATGATTAAATTACTATCTTTTAATAAGAAGTGGCAAAGTGTATAAAATATAATGTTGTGGAGTTTTTCTATTATCAGATAGAGGCAATGTTAATCACTCTGGAAAGAAATTACTGAAGATTTCTGAGAGTGAAGAATCAGAAAACTTGATTGATATAACATTTAAGTGTTTTATTTTATTCATGATCATCTGTAGGCCATTCATCTAAATTCTTTCCTCTGTGAGTATTTTGTTCTGAATGATAACCAGAAAAAGAGTCTTCACATCCCACAGTGTGGCCTAATTCCTTATGTTACTAAAATCTTATCATAATGAAAACCATAGCCAATTATCATAGCTTTTGCTTCCCTAAAACTTAAGTTTTAAAAATCAGAATAAATATTTTCCTGTAATAAATAATTTCATCCCCGGTCCTTTTAAGACCATTGTGCAAAATTCAGATCTCTGATCTGTTCCATATCTTATTTTAGTTTTCAGTTTCCAGATTTTACTTCTAAAGGATCTGTAGCATGTAACTCTTGGTTTCCATTGTTACTGTTCTGATCTCATGTTGCCATTTCCCAAATGATTAATAATGGTCTCCTAGTTATCTACCCACCTCCCATTTGTATCCCCACCAGTCCTGTTCATTGACTACTGTTAATCTTTCCACTTCAGAGAGGTCCTCTTCTATGCTCATAAATCTGCAGCTATATTCAAGGCCATCTAAACCTACCACGTAATGTGGAAGCTGCTCTGTCAAACATTAAGGGGTTTCCATAAGATTGTTTGAAAACCACTCTCACCAATCTCATCTTCGTTCTGTTTGTCGGTTACCTTATGCTCAAATCAATATAAAGCCTATGTTACTGGCCTTTCCATGAAATGCACCACCTCAGACCTTAGTGTGCAAGAGGGTAGATGCTGAAAAAATTCAGATCACCAGGTGTCACACACTATGTCTAGAATCAGAATCTTGGGGTGGGGGTCCTGCAACATGCAGTCTGATAAGCTCCAGGGGGCGCCTCTAATGCTGGTTATTTAGCCAGTAATGTTCAGAAAACCATTCTGTGCTGATGGAATTGGTTCTCGAATATTCCCTACGCAGGTGACTACGAGCCACATTTGGCTATTGAGCACTTGAAACATGGCTAGTGCAACCGAAGAACTGAAAATTCAACTTTAGTTAATTTAACTAATTTTCAATTAAATTTAAATATCCACATAGGGCTGGTGGCTATCATATCGGGCAGTGACGATCTGACAATTCCTCATCGTTGGATCTTGAAGATACTTCTAATTATTCACGATCAGCAATGCAACAAACATCCTAATATACAAATTGTTGCATTCATCACACCCTTGAGTACGAATTTCTAATCAAAGCCTATGAATAACTTTTAAAAGTCTTTAAAATTACTATCTAACTCTCTCCCTGTAAATTTATTCTGGCTTAAACTTCATCAACAATTTACAAGAAGGTCAACTGATCTTACATTGGATAAGGCATTTTGTAATCCTAAAGGAATTCCCATTCCTGTCTTTATTTCTCTAAATCGTATTTTGTATCTTCTCATAAATATACTTTCATTGCTTACTTCCTTCCTTTTCTCTCCCTCACTAGAATTAAGTTTAAAAAAGGAAAGATTTTTGTCAATTTACTCTCTGTTTACCTCCATTACCTACAAGAGGGCCAGTTACATAGAAGGTACTCAATAAATAATTGTTGAATTAATTAACACAATAAATTTTAAATATAACTGAGCACAAAGAAATATCTCACTTGAATTCCTTTTTAATGTGATTTACTTAATCACCTTCCTATCTTTCAATAATCATAACTTCTAAAATTTTACAAATGATCTAGTCATTTATCTGAATATTTTTGAGGCAGTGTACAACCAATTGGTATCTTCAAAATGTAAGATTGAGAGTTATTTTCCTAATCCAGTTATAAATTAAAAGAATCTACTTCCTTTGTGTGAAATAGTTATGATGTTTTAGAAGCCAGAAGGATTCAGCATATGTGGGCTGTACTGTTGGCACAAAGTTGATCTTCTTACTTTTTAGCCTAGAAATAAATGTACCAACATCTAAATGAGCTTCCTACAAATAATTTGACAGCTCGAACCAGTTTATGAGGTTTTAAATTTTTTTCCAATTATATAATAAATGATGGGAATAATTATTCCATTCTCCAGGATGGATGAACATTAATGTTTTTTTTAGTTGTCTCTCATGTCTTTAACCCAGTGATTTTATTACTACTTGTTTAATCATTTATATGTAGCCATCTGGTAATATAAAATCTGAACTGCCACTGTACAGATACAGATCATCTCACAGAGTATACCCTTACTTTTTGAGATAAAACAATTTTACAAATATTGTTTTAAGATTAAACCTATTCAAATACGGAGGAAAACAAAAAAGAATGAGTTTTATTAAATAAAGTAAGTTCAACAAATTAAAATTGAAAGAATTTTATACTGTACCAAATAATGCTATATTTGAAAGGTATTTAACCACATTTCCTGTTCTGGAGAAATTTTAAGAAGGAGTGTATGTATTAGCCTGAGAAACTATTCCTAATATTGATAATCTGAATGTGCCCATTGATTAATGGCCACTAACCAGTTTAAGGGGATTTCCTAAGCCCCCATTGCTACAGGTTTTGGGGGTAATATATATATAACTTGGCCCCTGCCTGATTAGCTGATTAACTGATCAGTTAATTAGTATCCTAGAGAAGAGTAAACAAATGTGCATTTGTGTCTAATACATGCCAGCAAGCACATTTCTAGATTCTTACGGTACAAATCAAACAGAATAACTGGAAACATCAAAATATCTCTAATTAGGAAGGATCATCATAACTTATCTCTAGAAAATGCAGAGAAGTAGACAAACTAATATAGAGAATAATGAAAAAAAAAAGCATTAAAACACATGAAAGATTTAGATGGTGGAAAATTTATTATACTTGAAATTCTTATTAAAATGACTTTGTTTTGACTTCCAGGCAAAATCACCTTCGTACTAAAGGCTTGGATACTTTCCTTGGGTACTCACTCATCTGGGATATCTTCCCCTGAACTTTCTAGCCCTTTATGGAGGCCAGCTTGATGGCAGTCAATTAAGGAAAAATGAATCTCTCTTGGGAACGAACACATTCCCACAGAACACAAAGGTAACTGTGTTGAGACAGGGACTCTCTCTCAAGGACCAGAAGTTTCTGTCCATTTATCCATCTGTGCAATCCCAGTGACATTCCTTTCATTAAAAAATAAATTACCGTCTTCAAAATGCCGTCATGCTTAATATGATAGTCATGGTTATCAAACTTCATTCTGACTCAGAAGTAAATATTTCCATTTTACCTCATCTTGTTGTGAGTTTAGCAGCTGCAGTTTCATGTGCTTCATATAGGCCATGGTAATCGGCATGTTGTAGTCAATCATGCTGGTCACCAAAGTGGGAGGTTTTCCATTATCTGTAATAAAGCATTTTTAATGGGTATGAAAGTGATACCGCATTCTACCTGTAATTTCAGAATGATCCAATTTGTTCACATTGAAACAGGATTCTAGATACCAAGTCTTTAGGAGATTGGTAGCCGTATGGATGAGTTGTAGGAAAAAATAACTATACAAAGGTACATGGGACAAATTAATGTTATAGATTTAGTTATTTCTAACTGCAGAGCTTTTTGATACCCCAGTAACAGTGGGTGAAGCCAATATAGTGATTAAACACAATTACCTGTATTTTTCGTAGTTTTCTCCTTTGCTGCATAACTACTTTCTCTATGTGATACTTGAGTGAAAAAGGAGATTTGTGTGTTTTTTCTTTGATCTTTTTCTTTTTGTTTATTCATCCCCCAACACATGGGAATGGACTAGCCTAAATGTATTTTTGAGACTAATTTAAACTCTGAGAGAAGCTGATAGATTAGGAAAAACATCTACATAATTTTTAAAGAGCACTAAAGACAAATTATAACCTGCACGTAAAAACTCAGTGGAGGAGCTCTGCGCTACTCATCACTTTCAGAAATAAGGAATTGGTAGGTTTAAAAGGACACCGATGGAACATCAATTTCCTCGCTAAATGTATTTAACATACCATGCAATACACACAATATGTGAAAGTTAAAATATTATTATAGGAAAAAAATTATTTGCCACAGCCCAAACTGCCTTTCTTCAGAGAAAGGGCACAGACTTCCTCTGTAAGTGGGTATTCAAAATTCACTGCCTCCTACTCCAATAAATGAGATGATCTGACTTGTTGAACTGTTTCAGTCTACCACATTCTTATAAAAATGTGAGATATAAATTGCCATTATGAATAAAATTACTTTAAATCTCACTATTTGACACTGTGGCTACCTTTGTGATCTGTTCCATCTGGGTTTAAATGCATTCTTTTCTGGCACTCTGAGCAGCTCATTAGAAACCGTGTCACCGCTTCTCTTGGTAGGAAGGCATAGCTCTCTGAAATCTGAAATGATTCACAAAATAGAGGTGTTATTATATAAGCTGACTGAGTATGAGTCAACAGAAATGATCACTGTATTTCCAAATAAGACTCATTGTTCCATAATGGCAGAAAGCACAATGAAAGCATGCACCGCACATCATGCATCATTTCAAGAAATATCTATCCAACTTGACTGCGTATCTCTTAATAATAGCTAATAATGTGATGTGGAGGAGAAAAAAAACCAACCACATCTGGGTGGAGATCTATTTGTATTTCCGAATTTCTTTTAGGAAAAGTAATCACAGTGTGCAGAGAGCCTAGTGAATTTTCCTGATCAAAAATTGTCAACGTTGTTTTTAAACTTACTGCTAACACCATCATAGTTTTATCCAATTTTACATATATATATTTTTTTAATTTAGCCCCAACTCGAAACAAGAAACTTTGGATTTGAATTAACGAACATTTCTTCATTACTGCTTTTTCAAAACATTTTAGTTGAAAATAACAGGTAATTCTAAGAGAACTCGTATATATATTTACTGCAGTGAATCATCCCTTCCACAGAAAATGACACATTGGAAATGCATTTTGGCCACTCCGTTTGTTATCTTATGTCAGTCTTTCATCATTTATGTCCACAAAGCTCACGCTGATTGTCAGAGCAAGCCTTCCCTATACCCTATACAGCTTCAATTTTCAGAACCATGATCTAGAATCACATTAGAAATCAAAACTGCCATCAGTAATTTTTAAAATACTAACTTTTCGAAAACCAAGGTATTTCTGTCATCAAAGCAAATAACTTCTAAAGTAAAGCTGACAGATGGTTAAATATCTCTAAATAAAAGCGAACACAGACCCAGACAGTGCTACTAAGAAGTACGATACTGGGCATTAGTCTTCCACCATAACACTAACGTTGGTAGGCAAAATACAAGATAAAGAAGAAGGAATGAATTGGGAATTAGACATAAATGCTACAGACAATTTCTCAGGTACATGCACAGCTGTTATGAACACTACTGTATTTTAAGTTTGTAGAAAGGGAAGAAAATATGCACCTTGTGTAAATTAAGTGCAAGGCTGCACCAGTTCCATTAATAGTGATGGGGTCAACTTTTATTTATTCATGCTGTAGAAAGACCACAACATTGAAGAAACCCCACACACTAAAATCTAAAATTGTAAAGCACACTTCGTCTTGAATTTCATAATAAAATCAATTTGCATCACTCATCCTAGATCAGGGCAAAAAAGACTTAAGAACACCAAAGAGAAGATACAAGTCCACAGTTAAAATCTTCCATGGATTATCCATACACAGGTATTAAAATTCAACTCTACTAGGGTTTTGTTTTAAGATTTCATTTATTTATTTGACAGAGAGAGACGCAAGTGAGAGAGGGAATACAAGCAAGCAGGAGTGGGAGAGGGAGAAATAGGCGTCCCACTGTGCAGGAAGCCTGATTCGAGGCTCGATCCCAGGACCCTAGGATCATGACCTGAACCGAAGGCAGAGGCTTAATGACTGAGCCACCCAGGCGCCCCTCTACTAAGGTTTTAATATAACTATCATTTGTAAAATAAATTTGTTGTCCAGTTTTAAAACATCCCTCTTCATACTGTACAAAGAATCATGAGAGAAAAATAAACAGAACAATTTGAAAGTATTTCATCAAACTATTTTATATTAGTTATTGAATAAGGAAATATATACATAATTTAAATTCTCACTTTCTCTTATGTTATTTCCCCTAACTACACACACACACACACACACACATTTGATTCCTATTCATGTATTTTACTGAGGGAACTCATACCTTTGCCTGATTTGTTTATCTAACTAGAGATCTTTTTTTTTCCTGACTCTCTGAAAACCTATATTAAAACAATTCAGAAGTTAAAAAAAAAAAAAAAATCCATGAGACATGCCTGGTCCTGGTATTTTATCTCACACAGAGTCATAGTCCATTGGAACTAGGGGGCCAAACAGTAAATCTAACAAATAGGATTTGAGAAGAACGTCCTATTGATTTTCATAAGGGATTTCTATTACATCTTTCTCTCCTTATATAAGAGAAACCTTCCATTGAAAAATGATGGGCAAACGGTGAACTTGAAGACACCCTGCCCTTTGCCTGATGCTAAGAAGGAATCCCTTCTTAGACAGGTTTATCATGGACCCGACTCAACTGTATTACTTGTCTTAGCGTTATGTTGCTCCAAATCCATTGCTTGGATAATAATTATTAATCACATTACATTTCTTTTATAGCTTAATTCTGAAAAACAGAGTACCTATAATGGTCACAAATATGTTTGTGTTCGTGTGCACATGGAAAAAATAAAAAGTCCCACTTGGTATCTTAGAAAAAATTTCAGCAAGTATTTTATCACATTACTCTCTCAATGTTATTCTGGCACAACACTTGGCATGTCACTACATGTTATGTAAGTGGATAAAAGCACTTATTTGGGGGGACTTTTCTTGGTGTTCAGAATCCATTTTATGGGGAGACCTGCCAAGGCATTCCACTCTCCTTGAATCCTTTCTTCCCCACCTCATGCTCACGGGGGCCCACAGACCATGGAGTCTCCTTAAGCACAAGGACAAAAGACCCCGAGAACAGACTCTTCACATCTCACACTCATTCCTGAAATAATATGTCTCTTGCCATGCAGGTGAAGATGGAAAATAATTTCTTTTTCCTTATCTAGAATTTTTCCTCCCAGGCTTCTTTGAAATTAAGAATCCTAGGCAACCTTCATTGCTGAAGTTCTTAGAGTATTTTTAAAAGTGAAGAAATAGTCTTAAAAAGTTCTTAAATTATGCTACATTTGAATAAGTATATTCCATAATTAAAGCCCTGTCTTTTGATCCTGTCGGTATCCTCTGGTAACCCCATTTAGAGATAACATTGAAAGCCCGTATGTGAAGCGTCTTTAGAAATTGAGGCAGGGGCTAAATGCCCTTATGGTTCCTCCTCTAATGAAAGGTCTCGTTTCCATTTGCTGGAGTGAACATTTGAAATGCTAAGTCAACTTTAAATAGATATTCATAAACGATGATAAAACTCAGGGATGTTAGGCTGTCCATTCATCAAAGCCCTAACATCCTTTATGCAATATGTAATAGCAGTTGCAAATAAAACCTAGAAGTAAGGAACCGAAATTGAAAAATATTTTGACTCGGATACTTGAAATCCTATTCCACTAATACTATAATTAATATCATAAAATGCTCTAATTATTCATAAATGTCTATTTCCTTGACCCATTCTTCAAATCTAATGATTTGTTTTTGGGATAAAAATTGAGCTTTGAATATAGAGTACAGGACATTTTCTAGAAAACGATGAGATTAATACTTCACTGGAAAATGTATTCTTAGAAATATCTTTATATTTTGAAAGGATAGGGTTTTTACTTAGAATTTGTCCATGCAGAAACACTGCCTCCTGTTAGTAATAAGCAAAACAAAACACGAATGGATATTAGTCTTGGTCTCTCTGAGCCAAACACTAAAATGACAACTGCCTTATGCCAAGCCACAAATACTGCTTATAATTGAAATTTAACATCCAAAGGAAGGACAAGAACCTAGCCATATTGAAATTTACAAACTAATGACCAAACACTGTTTATCATGTAAATAATTATGAGGTATCTCTCATAGAAATGTTTTCTTTTTCTGTGAATCTAGACTTGTTTTCTTAGATTCATACGGTGCTTTCTATTTTTCATTGATTTTTGGCATTCATTATTTTAGACAGTATCTAAACAGATTTTACAGTAATTTTCTGATAAGTGGAGTGGCCAGTATGAAGAGATGAAAGGAACTGCCATTGTTACACAACAGAGGGTAAAGCTAAGGGCTGGAACTCAAGCCTGGATCTCCCAAATCCTTGTCCATTTCTATAAATTGAATGGACCATGGGGGGGGAGCTTATCCAACAGAGAGAGAAATGTGTAGTGTCTAAGGAAAATAGAAATGTCAAGCTAGATTTTTTAAAACTGTGTATTTCAAAAACACCTGATGTATCAAAGTATCCTCACAGGACAAAGTCAGTACATGTGAAAATTGAGCTACATCTGAAGATCTGTTGGGGTTGCTTTTAACTTTGAAATAGCTCTGGTTAAGGGGTGGGGATGTTGTGGCAAACATATTTCTTCATTACTTACCATTTCGAAAGAGCTTAATTCCTCTGTTTTAGACATCATTAATACTGTTTTCAATTAAACTATTACATCCTAAATCCATTAAAACTGGAGTTCATCAATAATGCCAAATATCATGAATCAGATTATTATCATAAATTCAAAGTAGAAACAATTTCTCCCATCAAAAAATATGGTAATACGTCTACATAAAAATAACTGAGCTGCGGCATCTTTTGATAGATTAAACAATGAAATTGGTCTCGATAGCAAGACAGTACAACATTAGTAATCTAATGATAAACAGACCCACCTGAGGAAGGCCTCGTGATCAAGTCCTACAAGGGGCACTGCTATTGATCTTCCACTTGTGGGTTAACACAACAACAACAAACTATTGGGGACACATTTTTGAAAAGTTTACTGGCACATATTATGATTGAAAAGAAGATGGGCAGTTTACCCTGCCAATGTCCCTGCTACTCTGGAGAAAGGAGAAACAATATTTTTCCAAAACCTTACAACTATAAAGCCATATTCTAACTTCCTCTCAACACAGTTCAGTTAGGGTCAAAATGGCAGAGACCTAAAAAAAATAAAATGTAAAAAATAAAATAAAAGAGCAACTATGGTTAAATTGATTTGTAAATCTTATCTTATAAATTCAATAATATATAATTCCTAAAATATTCTTACATTTATTTTTGAATAGCAGAGCATCTCTTCAGAAGTAAATCATTCCTACCTGGAGCTGAATACACAAAATAACATATAAGTTAGAAAAATTGAAGAACTTAGTTAATCAAAACAATATAACAATAAACCATCGCTTTGTTGCATTTTCTCAGACTGTG